GCCCATAAAGCTTTCAAGAGCTGCATCTCGGTCTGAAACTCAGTAAATACCCAGAAAGTCACACAATGAATTTCCACAGCGATGCATCAACGCTTCCCTCTGTGCGCCAGGCGCGGCGGCTCCCGGCAGGGACAACACTCCCGAGCAGGGCGGGCGAGCCCGGGGCTGCGGAGGAGGGGCCGGGGCTTCACACCCCGCGCGGGGGCAGCGGCAGCGCCGCGCTCTCCTCGCCGAGGCGGCCGGCGCGGGGCCCCATGAATCAGCGCTCCGTCTCCGCGGGAGCCGCGGCGAGCCGGCGGCGGGGGCAGGGACCGGCAGTGCCGGGCAGGGTTGCGCAACAGCGCCCGCTGCGCCGCGGGGGCGCGGGGCCGCCGCCGCCGCTCAGGGCGCGCCGCCGCCGGCCGGCGCGGGGCGCGCAGGGGCCGGGCCCTCCCCGCCGAGGCTCCGCGGGAGCCGCTGCAGCATCGCCGGGCTGCGGGTGCCGCTCGCTCGTCGGGCCGCTGCTCCGCTGCTCGCTGCCACGGCTCGGGGAGGAGAGAGAGAGCGAGCGGGGAGGGGAGGGAGCGGGAGGGAGGGATCTCTCTTTACTGCAACTTCTCCCGGCTGGCGGCAATTTGTTGCACCCCCTTCCTCCTCCTCCCCCGGCTCGGAGATGCTCTCCAGTGCGGGTGCGAGGGGCGGGAGGGAAGTCAGTTCAGCCCGCCGTCCCTGGTAAACGCGGGGCCGCTCGGGGGCTCTCGCACAGATCGCTGTTCTGCCTCTGGGCTGGCACCTCCGCCGCCGGGGCTCCTCGTCTCCCGGCCCCGAGAGGTCCCCCGGGTGCCGTGGCCGGCCCCGCTCCCTCGCCCGCCGTTCGCCCGCGAGGTCGACCCTGTCCCGGGGCCGCGCCCCGGCGGTGGCACCGCAACGCGCTCTCCGAGCAGCCGCGCCGGGCTACGGCGGGCTCTCTCAGTCTACAGGTTGATGCCTCCGCTGCAGCAATTCCCGCGGAAAACAGGAGCGCAAAGGAAAAAATCTAATAAATCAGCGTGAGAAAAAAAAAAGGAAAAAAAAAAAAACCCACAAAAACACAGCCCACCAAAAAAAAAAAAAAAGAAAAAAAAAACCCAGCACACCAAGGCTGTGATTTTGCTGCCGCCCTCCCACTCCAGGGGAAGCAGCCTGCCGCGGCCACCGGCTGCCGTAGAGCAGCCGTGCGGGGGGGCGGGAAGGCCGGGGCGGTGCTGCGATGCGGGGCCGCTCCGCGGGCACTGCGCGCTCGGCCCCGCCGTTGCGGGACGCGGCGTAGCCGCGGCCAGGGGCAGACGCGGCGCTCCTCACCCGGGGGCCGCCCGACGGCCGGGGCTGCCCGGTCAGGCACCGAGCTCGGTGCGCACAGGCGGCCGGCGGCGGCTCGGCGGTGCGGGGCAGGGCAGGGTTAACAGCCGCACACCGAAGTGCTGCCGGCCGTACAGGGGGGCTGCCCGAGCCGGGTCCCCTCCCGGAGCCCTCTGCCCGCGCAGGCGGTGCGGCTCCGCGCCTCTCGGGCTCAAACGCCGCCGCTGCGCCGCGCAAGCTCCGCGGTGCGCGCGTGTCCCGCAGCGCGGCCGGCGCTGCCCCGCGGGGCGGAGCGCGGAGCGAGCGGCGGCCGCGGGATGCGGGAGAGGGGCTCCAGCGGCCGAGGGGCGGCAGGGCAGGTGCGGTCCGCGGCCCCGCGGAGGCTGCGGGCACGGGGCTGGGGCCAGAGCGGCCTCGGCGGGGCGGACGGGGCTGCGGCCGGCACAGCGGAGGGGCTCCCGCCGCGCGGCCCCGCGACACGCTGGAAGTCGCGGGGCTGCTCGGGCTGGCTGTAGGGTCACTGCACAACATTGACAACGACGGTAAAGCACGGACGGCCAGTGAGCTACCCCGGTTTCTCCGGGATAGGCATCCATAGTTTTGGAGATTTAAGCCAAGTAAGGGAATATTTGCAAGCTGAGAGCTTTGTTTTCATAGCACTTTGGTTACATCTGCATTTATCATGTCGATTGGAGTTTTGGTTTTTTGGTTTATTGTTTGTTTTGGTGCTTTGTTTGGTTTTTTTTCAATATTTCATGTTTAAATATTTGCTTTATTTTAAGAAACCAGGACAGGGTTTCCAGATGCTTGAAAGGACAGATTAATAAAAGGTCAGTATTTTTATTGGGCAAACATCTCCCATGCTGTTGATGATGTGTCTTAAACTCATCCCTATGCCTTTTCATTTTTCACAGATAGCACAGAGAAACATTAAAAACAACCATCTTTTGAATTTTAAACTTCATACAAATCCCTATAAATCCATGTATTGCATTTACTATATTTGAAGATTACAGCAATGCAATGTTAAAGCAATGTCAGAGCTATACTAGAGAAACTCCACTGTAAATCTTTCATTCTGAAATGTACACTTCGGTGAGAAATTTGCCATGCTTGGGCACAGTTCAAGTTGGGTTTTGTTTGTTTATTTGTCTTCTGGGTGAAAGAAAAAAGTGTCAAGTAGCTAAAGAAAATTCACACTTTTTATACTTAAGCAAACAAATCTCTCTACCCCCCTGCCCCCCACCGACATAGCAGCTTTAAAATCCACAGGTAACTTTAAAATCCACAGGATTTTAAAAGTGTCAAACTTCGGAGATTACACAGTCCGCAGTAAGTATCTTTTAGTCTGAAAACATTTTGAGAAAAACCTAGAAAAATTTTACTCATTGCTTTCCTTTTTGACTAAAAGCACATGAAGATCCACTGTCAATGGGTCAGAAGCCCCAACAGCTTGTTCCTTGCCCCTTCTGAGGTGCAAGATGGTGCTTTCTCTCATTTTAAACTAGTCTTACTTCTCTGAGCTTCTTAAATAGACCAATATGCCTGCGTTTCTGTGGCCTTTAGGTCAGACCCTTCATAAACAAAATATCAGAACATGGCATTGTGCTCCCTGGCTGCAGCGGAGTCACTCTACTTGCACACTAGTGGAAGTGGGAGCAAAATCTGGTTCAGTGCTCACACTGTACAAACATATTTAGTCTCATAGCAACAAACAATTCCAGAAGACTTCCCATTTGAGAGGACAGTGATACCTGGCAACGCCACTTGCTATACTACATATGGTTCACTCTCAGTTTTGTGTTTTCTAAATAGCTTTGGACTTTTCACACAGAATGAGTCCTATTCAAAAATATCCACCTTCAATTTCTTTACTTGTTACCTGCATAAAGATTTATAAAATATTAAAGATAACTCAAGTTACCCATGTAGACTTTTCTGAGTAAATTGCACTGATAAAAATTCCCCCTTATTTTTCAGCCAATTAAGATTTGCCTCCCCAACTAATGGAATCACACCTGTCAAACAATTTCTAAGCTGCTTAGGCCGTAACAGATTTGCAGACCTATCTTTGCATTTCCAGGTTTTGTCCTGACCCCATTCATCTTCAGCAACACAGAGGCAAAAATCTGTGATCCTAGCAGTAGCTCCTTCTAGGGAACCACTCCACAGGGGTTTTCCCCATTGCGTTTTAAAGTTGAAGGAGCAATGCTCAGTACCTGAAAGCTGGTAAAGGATGGTGATGGTGTTGGCAGACATTTCTGATATAGAAGGCTTTTGCAGCTGGGAAGAGAAGTGAGGAATACATTTTCCTGATGATCAGGGAGCAAGAGCAAATGTGTAAGAGATTGAAGATCTTCTGAAATCTTACAAGAAAGCAGCAGAAAAATAAAGTGCATAATTTTCAAATGTGTGTTCTCTTTTGGAAATATAGCTCATTTGTTCTTTTTACCAAAAATTCAGTTGAATTCTACAGAATTACTAAAACTGGAACTCGGTAGCAAAAACAGCAGCCTTTGTTCAAGTATAGAGACTTGAAAAATTATCTATACTCTGCATTTCATTTTGTGAAAAGATTCTACCAGATTCTGTAAGATTTATTCTTCACTACTGAGATACTTTATAAATAAAGATGTGCTAAAATTCCTGGAAAACAATCATGATCAGATTGCATTCCACATACCTAGAAAAAAGGTCCTACTATTTCCAGCTGTGTCAAATGCCTCTTGCATGACTATTTATTCCAGTTCATGCAATAAATCCCCAAATTTTGCATGGCCAATGTAGATCTAAATGCAGGAGCACAAGATGTGACATTAGCCTATTTTAAGTAATGAATTTGGAAACTACTTCTGGCTTTAGAAAAAAGAAAATAGAGAAGACAATAGCTATTATTAGGTTATTTAGACCAAACTTTTTCCAATGCCCACTGGATTTCATTTTTGTTACTTTTGAGTTACTCAGGCAATAGTCTGTCACCAGCCACTTGAGGTGATTATTCCAGCCCAGTGGTTCTCTCAGCTGGAATGTTTCTCCCGATGCTAAGTTTAACATTTTATTTTGTTGAAATTCACCCAGTTCATCTTCCACATATACCTGAAGTAGCATTATAAATCCTTTTCCATTTTGAATCTCACCAAAATATAAGATATATTGGATATATTGGAATGAGTAGAGAGAAATGTATTTCCACCAGTTAATTTTAGCAATATTTAAGCTTTTTTTTTTTTTTTCCTCTTTTCCCTGCATACCAATGGCTGGCTTGTATTTCTTTGCTTTTGAGCTAGGCACAACTACAGCAGTCCTCAAAATTTTATTCCCAGTCTTCACCTGATGCTGGGTAACTGTCACTGGAGTAGAAATTAACATCTAAAGAGATGCTATTGATCTCTGGTTTGTGGCATGATGTAGCTGCCATAGGAACTACAAATACATTTCATTATCTCTTTCCATGAACACTTAAAATTTTGTTTTTCCCTTGACTTACCAAAGTAGGTGATACTTTAATATATCTTTAATATTTTTGACAGGCTATATGCTGCTTCCTGTCCTGTCTCCTAGTGGCAGATTCATAAAAGGGATAGCACAGCCTAGATAATTTAGAATTAGCACTGTGTAACCTCCTTGCTAACAGTGCATATTTACTTAGAACTTTTGACAGGTTAGGGGGTTTTTTTAAAGTAATTTTGTTTCGTTTTGTGTTTCTGTTGCATTATTTTGCTGTTCGTTTCTTCTTCCTACCATCTTACTGACTGTATCTTCAGGTATAATTTTCATTTTCTTTTCTAAAGATTTGTGCCAGCAGTTGATGCCACGTAGACAGTTTTCCACTGGAAACTCACCGAACATTCTCCCAAACAGCAGTCACCATTTGGTAACAGCTTTTGGCCACTACCGAGAAAGGAGCTGCCTAAGAAGTTAGAGGTCTTGTGATCTGATCCCTTGAAGCACTGGTAAATTCTCCCAAAACACATACCTGAAATCACACAGTGTGCCAGCACAGGCACTATGTGCAGTGCAGTGTCCTAGGTTTGCTCACAGAGGGGGAGCCTAGAGCCCTGGGGCCAGGCCACATTGCTATTCTATAGTGCTCACATCATCGCTGCCAGGCGGTTGGTTCCAGGAGAAGGAAAAAAAGGGAATATACTCTGGAAATTCACTATTTTCTTGTGTTTCTTCCTGATCCCAGCCGAGTGTGTGCCACGATGCCAGTGCGAGAAGCAGTCATGGAACGGAGCAGCAGAACCTGAGCTGAGCCCTAGCCCAGCCAAGCCCAGGCTGGGCAGACAGGAGCTGAGCCAAGCATTGCTGGCCACAGTCAACCCCAGCAGGGCAGAAAGCAGGCAGCACCACGGAGAGGATTTTGGGAATTGGTCCATCATTGTTTTTCGTTGTCTCAGGCTCAGGGATGGGGAATACTGGCTGCGGGGTGTCCACCACCTTGTCTTTGTCTCAAGAATAACTGTGAGCTGCTGCCAAACATCCCCATCTTGTCTTTGCATCAGCAGTCACATGGAGCTAAACTGAGGTGTTAGTGACCACCTTTTGCATGTAAAGAACCATCTATTCCATATGCTTTTGTTACTAATATTGCTGCTGGTGCTGTGCATTTCTTATTCCACTGCTGTTTGCTTTCACTAAATTGTTGTCTCAACCCACAGTCTCTGCTTTTGTCCCTCTCTCACCAGATGGGGGCTGGAGAAAGGGGAGTGGCTTATTTGAGGTTTAATTACTAGCAGGTGTTAAACCACCACATACAGTCAAACACTGCTACCCTATTCCTTCATCCATGTTGTATTCCTGGATCATCTTCCTCACATCTGCCTACCAAGAAATCTACCCTTATATAGTTCAAATCTTTAAGCAGTTCAGTTCTGAAATGTTGCTTTTGTCCTCTCTCATTTTGCTTTATATGCTCCACCTGTTACAGGGAGCACCTCAATTTGCAATAGCTGCTCTGACACATTTAACAGCACAATTATAGATGACTTGGTAACCACCCATTGACTAAAAATAACCTAGCAACTGAAGACACACTTGGGTATTTATACTTAGATATCCCAGAGGAACCCTTCACAGCTCCTGTAGCAGGGGAAAACATATGTATCTCACCAAATGCAGTAGGCTAGGAATCCTCAGGGGTGGGGGCGGAGGGACGTAGGGGAAGTGATAACATTGCACAGCTGAAAGATTTTCCAGACAACACTCTGCCAGCTAATCCAACTCTTATCCAACTAGCTCTGCAATTAAGGTTTCCTACTGAGAACAACGACAGCGTTATAACCTGGGGAATTTTCTACATAAAAAACCTCTTTGCATCTGGGATTGAAAAATGTAGAGCCTTAAAATCCAGCGCCTACACTGATGGTATTTGCCACCATTACAGATCCTAAGGAACTCTAATGCCAGTATGCATATGAGAAAATACATGAGCTGCAATGAATGAACTGCCAATGAGGAGGGAGACAGGCAGCATATCTTCTGTGAAGAGTGTGCAGTGCTGAAACTCATTCTCGCCCTCCAACACACGGATTACTTTATTTTTTTTAATTCAAGATGTACCAAGTTGTTACACAACCTGTTCAGGAGGAAATAGTCTGATATCTGAACAAAGAGACATCTAAGTGATGTGATTTGATTTCTATGATACATGATTATATATGCTATGGCTGCCTGTGGCTAGTTTTATATTTGAGCAGAAGAAACTTGGAATTTTATGGAAAGAACCCCATATGACTTAATAGAGAACTTCTATTGCTGCAGTATCTGTTTGCCCATTCTTTTTCTACTCCCCATTTTTCCTGGTTTATCTATGGCCTTCATCCATTCCTGTCTTCAAAATATGCTTTTATTATCTGAATAGTTAGCAGATTACAGCAAGAAAAAGAACTACTAATCTCAAAAAGAGATTGTACAATGTCATAAGGGCCTTTCTACATCCCTTCTGTTGTAAGATTATTGTTTTGAAATGAAGTGTTCAAGGTGAGGTTGGATGGGGCTTTGAACAACCTGATCTAGTGAAAAATGTCCCTAGCCATGGCAAAGGCTTGGACTAGATGACCTTTGGAAGTCCCTCCCAACCCAAACCATTCTGTGATTCTGTGATAATTCAGAGAAAGCATACAACTCTTGAAACTCACACTTAAGACTGATGTGCAAGGCTCAAACATTCTGATGACTGTAGGGCTATTCACAAAAATCACAAATTCAGAGGGCTTATCCTCATATTTTTATGTATTCTAAGATCATTTGGACTTTTAAACACTTCTCGAAATACAACTGTTCACTCTTTTTTTTTAGAAAAGGGATTTGTATGTTAACTAGGATGAGTAACCACATTAAATTAAGGGAATGTAGTTATGATCCAGGTTTCCAGCATCAATTCTTGAGGGTCTAGCTTAAAAATACACAACTAAAAGGCTGCAACATTCAGGGAGTAAGTTTTTAATTGAGAATGAGACCCACAGAGAAAGCCACTCTGAATACACACAAACTCTATGAGCCGTGTCACAGCAAGCCTTTATAGAATGGCCAATACCAGTGTTGCATGGAAAAGTGAATAAGCTAACGGATTTGTAATGTCTGTTGTTTTCTTCCATCTTAGTGGAGGGAGAAAATTAAAAAAAAACAAAGCAAAACACCAATTCTATGGAAATGAATTCTGCTATACAAGCTCATACTTGTATAGATATCTCAGAGGAACCTGGCAACTTAAGCAATGAAATCTTTGATCTGTAGTTTTAAGTTTAACCAGAGAACCTCCTTTACATTTCTTTAGATTTTGACTTTACACATTTTTCAAAATCTGGGTGTTACAAAAATTGAAGTTAGCCACTTGAATTCTTTCCTTTAGCAATTCTTATTGTAATATGTATAAAAGGGAGCAGCAGCAAAAGTGATGCATATCCAGAACACCACCAGGTACCTCCACAGTAAGTTAGAACAGGTTCTGAACATATGGGGAAGAGAAAACAACTGCCTCTAATATTTGAGCACATTGGGTGATACTCCTGAGAGAAGTAATCTTTAGTTGCCATTAAGCTAGTGAAGGGGAAACAAATATTTTTCAGACAAATGTTAAGTGCAGATGGTTTAAAATTATTCAAAACCTTAAATAAACAGTTAAAATTGTTACATGCACAGAATTAACAATTGCTACATTTTACGTATAAATTAAAATAGGTTTATCACTATGGCGCTCTTTCCTTAAACCTAACAATTCTCTTGTTTTCAAGGGATTATCAGACTATGACATTAAAAGAGACAGAGAATTTTATAAAAGTTTATTCTGGGTCTGTATTCAGGAATAAATAATGGTGAAATGGTTGTTAAATTTAAACCTTTAATCTGAGTACAGAAACTTATTTGTTATTCTGAAATATAAACCAATCATTTTACAAGCCATTTATGTATAATATAGTTCACTTGCTCTTGAGAGTAAAGAAAAAGTATCAGTGTATCTCTAGCTATTATTAAATATGGCCACTTAATACTAAATGGTATAAAACTTCTATTTTTTTTTAGTTGTAAGAAAGTGGATTATTAAAACCTAATCTCAGGTTTATTACTGGATTCTGTGGAATTAACACAGTGGAGGCCTCTCTGTTTACACCTGGATTGGATAATGGTAGGAACTGCAGAGTAATATAACTTTCTCTTGTATGCACAACCTATTCATTATTTGCTTGTCTGTTTGTTTTTATAGGAAGTTTATTTCTTCTATTTACCAGATATATCAGGAGTCCTATTACTCACTATATTTAAGGAAGTAGCCACTGCATAGCACCTTTTTCACAAAACGTTTTTTGAAAAACATGTTTTAAGTGGCAAACAACCTCTTTGGTTTTATTTTAAATTATGCTGTCCTAATATGAACCAATTTTTTTTTGCATGCTTATATTATTTTGAAATAGAAAGCTTTAATTACAACATGAAATTGAGCATCTAAGGTTTTTGGCATTTAACAAAAAATCAGTACTAAAACATGGCCCCTTGGTCATGAGGCAGTGACAGTGCACAACCTGAACTAACTTCTGTAAAAATCATGGCGATATTGTAGCTGATTCAGCTGTATTTCAACTGGAAAAAGCATTACAAAGAGCATTATACAAACATTGTAAGAAATAAAACATCCTTCTGTACAGCAGAATATACTCTCTCTTTGGACACTACTTAACCTTGAATACAGAAGGAATGGAGTGCCAAGTCCTAGAATGTTTTAGCAATATACACCTGTGCTGGAATGTCTCAATCATTATCATACTCATCTTCAGGTTTTTAAACAAGAGGTAAAAAGCTTTCTCTGATTTCTTAGTGTACCCTCAGTGAAAGCCCCACACCAACAGCCTATATAGTCCACAGGTGAGAGCTCACAAGCCCTTAAGTTTTCAGTTGTCTGTGTACGTAAATGAAAGGGGAGATGAGTCATGATAACTAATTGTTCCTGACTGAACAGGGGTGTGCAAGGTAATATGTAGATAGTAAGGATGATATTACATTACAGCTTGAATTGAGTATAAATCTTAAACTAGCACATTGTTTAAGACATGCCTGCAGAAACAGCTTTGACCTTAAAGTCACAGTAAAAATCTGAGTCTGATTTACCACACCAGTCCTAATATAGGGGTAATAGACATTAGATTAGCATAATATTATACATTGAATGCCTTCTATATTAGAAGTAGACCTATCAGAAGTGCAATGATGAATTGAAGTTTTTATGCATGAATTACCACATATAGATTTTATTGTATTTATTTTTTAAAAATACTTGTTACACGATTCTTTTAGGAAAAAAAATTCATTTGGTTTTGTTTAACATTTCAGAGGAAACTAGTTTAGTCTATTCTGTCAGTAAACCATTAAATATTATGTCAGTAACACAGTTTATAAACTGTACTCTCAATCCATGCCATAGTGCTCTGAGAATGTGTCAACACTCAGTGATTTCTTTACCCAGCTCAAAAGCATCTTGGAGGCACCCCGGGCACAGCCACTGAGGGTTATCCGCTCCAAAATAGCTGTTATAATCTGAATGGAAGGACCATAAATGATTCAATTGAAATCATGCCTGAAAATGAAAAAGGAAACTAACACAGAAAAAGCTATAACATTAGTGGGTCTAACAGTGTGCACACCTGAAGGTCTAGCATTGAAGACTGGTGTTTCCCTTTACAGTCATCCTACCCTATGAGACAGCTACTTCAAGATGCCGAGAATAGTACTTACAAAATTGGCCTTTACTGTTGTTCAGAAGAGTTATTTTGCATCTTTTCAGATGTAAACAAAAACCTCCAGTCACCTCTGACACAACTGAAACTTGGTAGAGTTGGCTCTCTCCCTACCCTTTCTTCTTTTCTCTTTGAAAGAGCTTAAGTATTCATATCTTTCCTATGAAGTGGTTATAATATAGTACATAGCACCTACCTAGTCATAGCCTTCATAGTAAAACTATTTTAAATAAAAACATACAGGCTAAATACTGGATCCAAGTGCAGCTTACTTTGAAGATTTTTTTTTTTTAACTTTATGGAGAAACTTGATCAGATTTTTTTTTTTTTTTGCAACAGAAAACTAATGGAATTCTATACAGTCAGACCAGATTGAATTCCCAAAACACATGATAATTACTTCTAGAATTGAGGGACTAGTAAAAAA